GCTCCACCAGTGAGAGCAGCATGATCCAGATCTCTTCGGTGGCATAGTCGTGAGCCGCCAGGGGATCAACACGGAGTGCCTCTATCGCCGAAAGGGAGTCGGTGGCTACCAGAACTCGCGTGGGCGTTTGGGTCGCTGTGAGCCGTGGAACTAAAAGGTGTCGGAAGCCATTCTCTATGGCAAGACACTCTGCTCTGTAGGAGCAGGCAAGTTTCCCCGCGGCTGCGCGGTGGACATCCGCAGGGGTCGCGTCGGACCGCGTGACGTCATAAAGCAGCGCAGCAGACCCAGATGTGAGGTCGGGGAGGGACGACGAACCGTCCGTCCAGAGCTCCAACTCATGGGGCTCCAGCGAGGCGTAAACCGTTTCAAAGGCATGGCGTCTGACGTGGTCCTCGGCGTCCTTGGCGAACTTCGGCACGAAGAAACAAACCTTGTGGCAGCTCTCAGTGCACCAGGGAGTGATGCGGTGCCCGACGAGAGGGGCACGGGCGTGCTCCGGGGAGATGCCGATGAGGCTACAGACACGTCGCAGTTCGTTGAGGACGGCATCTCTCGGCAGCGGGATTGCCGTCGCTGCTTTCCGACCCAGCGATGGCGGGGCGGGTTCCGAGTAGATAGCGGCACGTAAATCCTCAGAATTTCGCAGGCGGGTGTAGCGCTCATGTTGCGAGAGTGCGCGGAGCCAAAGAACCTTCCGCAGCGGGAGCAGGTTGGCCTCCAGGTAGACAGACGTGTCTTCCGTGGACGCACTCAGGCCAAGGGATGTCTTGCAGCTGTCGCGGTACCGCACTTCCATGTTGTGCAGGTATGTGGGGGCCAGGCACGGGGCGATCGCCTCGCCACTGTAGAGCAGCACACTGTGCACATACCCGATCAGGAATGAGCGCATGGTGTGGTGCGACGCCCCCGCTTGCGCGACGAGCCGCAGCTGGTACCGGCGAAGCATCGTTTGCTTGGCGGCGGCAGCAGCATGCGGACCAAAGTTGAGGAGCCGGTCAATCGTTGTGCCAAGCAGGCGCACTGGATGGGACTTAATCTGCAGGTTCCCATTTCCAAGCCTCAAGGCGACCGGATCCTCGTCAGACAGTGTATGAGAAGAAACGCAGAACAAGGCAGCTTCGCTCTTGTCTACGTTGATCTTCAGGTTGTGCTCGGCAGCCCATGAGGTCACAAGGGACAGGGCCGGTTGCATTGCCGCAGCACAAGCGTGGATGTCCGCACCCGAGGCAACGAGCGTCAGGTCGTCAGCATACATGAAGGCCGACGCAGAGTAAATGTTGTCCAGGCGGCGCAGCAGGTCATCCACGTAATAGAGAAAGAGCTGGGGCCCCAGCACACTGCCCTGGGGCACCCCAGCGGAGGTGAGTTGTAGCCGCGAAGTCTGTTCGCGGACCCTCACCCTAACGTATCGGCCCCGCAGGTAGTTGCGCAACCAGCGTTTCGTGCGGGGGCCAAGGCGCGGGAGCCTGTCGAGCATGACCAGCAACTTCCCGTGGTCAATGGTGTCGAACGCAGTCGAAAAGTCTATCAAGACCACCAGGGAGCGGTGACGGCGAGGGTGCAGCGAGGGAGCGCCTCCACTAGGGCGCTCATACTCCACCATGCTGAACTCATTCAACCCTCGCGTGATCCTGTCAAGGACAAGAGTCACTACATCTGAGGTCCTGCGCGATGACACGAATCCAAACTGACGTGGGTGGTGCGGCAGTAACGCCGACAGGCGGCGGTGAACCATTTTCTCGGTCACCTCAAGCAAGGCAGAGAGCAACGCAATCGGCCTGTGGCTCTCTGCGCGGCAGGGATCCTTCCCAAATTTAGGGACAGGGATTGTCTCCCCTATTTTCCAGGACATCGGCACGCAGCCATCTGAAAGGCAGATGTTGATCATCGTTCGAAGTGTCCCACGGGCAGCAGGCCCCAGATGCTGCAGAAATTCATTCAGAATGGCATCCAGGCCAGAGGCTGCGCCGTGCGAGGAGTCGCGGATGGCCAAGTCCAGCTCGTAGGGCGTGAAGGGCCGGTCCATTTCTCACTCGCCCGGGGGCAGGCGGAGACGGC